CTGTACAGTACAAAATGCGGTATTTCTCGCCACGAATCCCTGTACGTTGCAGGCAGCGGGCAAAATCAGCCACGCCTTTTGTCGAAAAATAGTCTCAGGATCACGCCGCCGGCTTTATCTGCAGAACGAAGGTGTCTACGTGGCCTTCTCGACGGGGTCCAACCAAGTCGATTTCGTGTATGACTTTGCCACCGAGAATCAGTCGTTCTCGGACCCAATCCAAATCTTCCGAACTACCGTCCTCTCCCTGGACATTGCTATTACGGAGGCTGTGCTCAACGAAAGCGTACCTGTCCGCTAGTGTAGTGCAAGGTACTGCCTGTCCTTTTATTCTTTTCTCATAAGGGTGAATATAACTGGGAGAGGCGCAATGGACGCTTTCGTGGTAGGTTTGCTGCAGGAAAGCAAAGGTGTTTCTTGGTGCTGGAGCCCAATACTTGTAAAATGGTCTGAAAAGCAGTGGGAAAACGTCAGACTTTGGGAAGACATACTGTTGGCCATACGGCTTTGAAAGTTCCTTGATGTGGGTCACGTTAGACGTGTAATAGCTGATGTCCACGTAAGGCCAGCCCCAATCGTGCAAACTGAGTTTGCGACTACCGTCAGCATCCTGTGAGGCATTGCTGGGTTGAATCAACTCTGCGTAAATCTTGTCCCTAAGTCCAGATTTTCGAATAATGAATTTGGGTCCTAGCATGCGCATCTTTCTCCACAGCGCCGGTCTAACTTTCTCGTCAACGAGAACATCAAGGTCATCGTCCCAGGGTCCGATATCATGGTGACGAAAGGAGGAAAACAGGCTGCCGGAGTAGATCATCCACCTGTCACTAAAACCGAGCTCATCCATGACATCCACGAAAGTTAAAAACAGCTTCCACATTGTACGCATCTGTCCACGGCTGAATTTCGCCTCCAGGGGTGCATGAATGCTTCCCGGAGCGCCAAACGGAAGGCGTAGAAATTCCCGTTCGGGCCAATTTATATTCTCCAGGTTTGGAAGTTGCTTCCGTTTCTCTTGTGTATTGCCACTATCCAACACAAAGCTCTGCAAATCTGGCTTGTATTGCATTTTTACGGGAGAAGGAACGTTCTGGGCGATAATAGTTGGCTCCTCTGCAGTTTTCACGAAATAGTATGAAACCATGGCGAAGGCAGTCACGATGAAAATTGCTGTAAGCTGGATAGTCTTTCTTCTATTCATTAGCTTGAGATTTGGTAAAGTCTCCTGTCTTTCGTCTGGTTTGCCTGTTCATTTCAAGAAAGAAAAAACGGCTGTCAAAGTATAATTGACACAATCTCAATCATGTTACGCAACATGCAGCTGAAAGCTCATATAAGAATGATCACTAATGTCAGATTAGAACTTACCTGAGCCCCGGTTGTTGTCCGCATAGGTGTGATATGTATGCACTTATGTAAGTTATGTCAACTTCTGCGTGGTGTAATAATGTAAATGAGACATTTAATTAGGTGTCGTTTGAAACGTAAATGGCCGTGAAATGTTTCCAACACCATCGAAGCAGACTTAACTTGTCTTGTCAGGTTTCCTTAACGCCTTCAATCCTCCACAAGTCACACCTAGGGAGGAGGATTTGGGAATATGGCCCACTCCCTGACCGGCCTGGGCTGGTTTATGCGAGGTCGCGTTATAGTCGCCTTCTCCGAACTGTTTGTCTTTGTTGGACGGTGTAATATATTTTATGCCATCCTTGTCGTTGCTAGTGGTAACAAGAGTTAAAGAAGGTATGTATGCGGAAGGCACTGTCTTAACCTAATCAATATGACTTTAGCACTTCGCTCGCCCGTGAAGAACCGGCTGAAAAACGATCGATTTTATGGCAAATCAGAAGCCAGTATTCATGCGCCGGTGATCGAATTCAAATGTTTGTGCTTCGTTGGGTCCGCGACTTGCAGTACTCGAACATTTTGCTCCTGGAAAAAGCCAGCCCAACATTTCGTCAACAAACTCCCTCCTAACCAACACATTATCAGGAAGAACGTGACGTGTTTGCAAAATGAATGTCTGGTTTACCCCACCCTTATACAGTAAAACACAGCCAGTGAGTGCCTAAACATCAACTCCTCTAAACAACACATAATTAGATAAACTTTTAATGATCACATTGTCGGCAGTCGTTAGGCCCAGAATTCCGATTACTTGTCAGATGGGAAATCATTTTACAACACTATACCCTTGGATGCCTGTTGGCGGTATGGGAATATTACGCGATTAACACGTAGCAACTGATGAATTTCAGCTCGAAAATTCATATCAACTTTATGACCGTGCCTGAAAAAGGTCTGTCCCGAAGAATGTACTCTATGTTCGTCCATTAGTTATTTCAGGAATGAAACAAGGGAGGGTAAACCAGAGTTTATATACCAGAAAACAGGGGAAGGCTGAGGAACCCACTGATGAGCCGATCCCTCACGGCTGCGTATGGCAGCAGAACAAGTTCTGCGTAACACGCGTATATGAGCTTTAAGCTAGTACCTGCATTCTCAGCACGGTAAATAATTCCACGAACCCCCTTCTACCCAACATAGTAAAGGCAAGACGTTTTGTTTACAATGCCTTACCCAGTACGGATCATAGAATAAAATATGTATGTTTTGAAAATGCTTTGGTTATATTGGAAGGATCATCCATGGCAGATTAATTCCTATTCCGACCAGATATATGCTATGCTGGCTAGGAGTGAGTAGACATAGCGATCAAGTATCTGCCTGAGGCATTACTAGGTCAGAGTGGTAAGGGTTCTGGGGACAATTTAATGTGAGGTACCAGGCCACAGGGCGACACCGTCGATATGAAGTCGAAATGTGTGGATGGGTGCTAGAGGAAAAACGTCCAGCAATTAACTATGTTTATCCTGCATGATTAAAACATTCGTTCAAAGTGATCTATTACTCGACGCGAACGGCTAAAATTCGAATGAAATATCGCAGTGAGTTCCAAATCCCCCAGTCGACACGTTTAACCCATTTCTATACCTATTAGCCAATTCATCCTCATGCTGGAATTCCTACACGCGCGAACGCACAGGTCAATTCGATTGATAAAATCTTCATCTTAGATTCGCATTCAGTAGAGTGACTTCGGTGTGTGCTCGAGTCCTCGAATGTGCAAAACTTCCCTGAAATGTTGGTAAAAATTGCTACATTTTATAACGATGCCAAATGGGCCATGGCACTTTGTCATCTGTCAGTGCATTCTCTGGTCTTCGCAGTGATGCTTATTTTGTCCTTGATGTGCTCTTTGGATCATCTCAGGTGAACATTAGAGCAACAACATTTCAGCAACTCATTGCAGCCGGATGCTAGTGTATTTTTTGTCTCTTCATGTTAAGGTGATACCATAAAAACAGCACGGGTACTAGCCAAACGCCCATACACGTGTGTGCTGCCGATATTCTGCCGCTGTACGGCGCAGCTGCGCGGGATTGGGCTAGTCAGTGGGTCCCCCAGCATTCCCTGTATGTTTTCTGGTAGATACTCCGATCTAGAAATTGTCGCCTTTTTGATTTCCTCAGAAATTATCTACGACGTTGGAGTAGATCAGTTTACTCAAGGTCTATATGTTCAGACCGAGAATTTTTACGTATTAATATTTGGGCCAAAGTCTATCAGTCACAGCGGGTAACCGGGTAATATTCATTAACATATATACTCCAACTTCGTATATATTTGCTGAGGAGATAAAAAAGCGACCATTTTTTGTCTCTTTCTAACAATGCTGTCGAACATCCAGTTATCAGTAGCACAATAAACTGGGCTGTAAGTCTATAAATATGGCTGGTGTTAAGGTAGCCAATCAGTCGTTTGATAGAATAAATAATGTGACACCATGGACTTTGCTTTCAAAAAATGTTGCCAAAACGTACATTTACTGTGTTGTCCAGCCACAGTCGGGTAAGCGAATGGCTCAGTCCGGTCCGATTGCTGAGTTCTTTTCTCTAGCGTTGAATTCGTTGAGGTAACGAACTGCATGGCTCAGTGGTCTCCGAACACTGTTATATATGCTACTGCATCTTTGTGAAAATAGGTTTAACCAGCAGCATTCAGGCCCTCGCGCAGGCTTGCACCTATTGGTCTTTCAAAAGTGTGTGCATGCATTCTGTTTCTCTCTGCTTTGTGGAATTTGAATTTCAACATTGTTTCCGTCACTCGATTGGGCTTTTCTAAACTATGAGCAAAGTTTGATTAGGTTGACTCGAAGCTGAGCGTTGACACCCAATCCGCGTATCAAGCCTCGCTCTCAAATCATACGCAGTAACATTTCTGCACCCTGTTAACCGCCTACGCGTTATTCAAAAAAGAGATAATCTGCCTCACAGTATTTTTTTTTAACAAAGTACGGAATACTCCTCACTCGAAATAGGCCTTTCAACAAACTCGTAATTTTATATGTCTGCTGCCTGTCGCTTACCACAACCGGTAAATTATATAACTGTTAGAATAATTTAATGTACAGTGGAAGGATCTAGGCATTCGGAAACTAGAGACAGATTAAGCCAGTGATAGTTACAGGATATAGATTGTTTTTGAGTAACATTTTGATTTGTAATTTGTGGAGCCGTCTGATGGCGGTACTTTAGGCAGCGATAAATAATTCTACCATACTGGCAGTCGCAATGAGTAAAGTTTACTCGCAAGATTCCGGCACAAGCATGTCGTTTCGTTAACGTGCTAGATAATTTTCCGGCAGACACGAAAATTGACTTTTGTTTATCCATTCTGTAAAGTTTCGGTGAAAGACTGTATTTAATTGTCGGTAGACTGTTGATTATGTGCATTGGGTGTTTCATCGTGGCATTAATTTGCAGGCCTCCGCAGACACTATACCGTCAACAACAGTTGTTTACCTAACCTAACCATCAACCTAAACCTGTGCTCAAAAATCTCTCCTTTTTGAGAATCGCCTTTTTGTTTATTTTTTTTGAATTGATGCACTTACATCCGTTGTCACACAAAGGCGCGCAATAAGACTTTTGGCGGAAATTTAAACATGCTGTTTTCATGGATATTTTGGCAGATTTTAAATAATTAATATTTTCCCAACTGTTTTCTCGCAATTCATTAGCTTCCTGTCTGACGAGCTGTCCCACGTATAAAACCCCCATTATCACAATTCCTGTATGATTGGATCCACAGAAAACCAAAAGTACAATGGTATCATACATCTTACTACTGCCCAATATTCTTCTAAACTCTCATTGCTTCCGCTCATTGGCATCGTTCGTTTAATTTAATATCCACGTACGGAGACGGGAGGCGAAGTTAGGCCTCAAAAAAAGGTATGGATTGAAAGGCGGCTTCCATTTGTGTCGTATACATAAATGACAGTCATAAACAACTCCTATAGGTAGACCACACCTCAATCACTGTGCTCAATTGGCCAACATCGTCACCCGCTTGGCTGAATGTTGATAGCTCCCATGGGAAAAGGAGTAGGTTCACACCGATACAACCGAAAACGCTTTTTTCGAAAATGTTACTTCTTTCTTATAGACTACCTTACATCCATACCCGTCAGCGTTGGAGAAAACAAAGTTCCAAATAAGAGCAGACACCTTGGTTATATCTCTCTTAGGTTCAGTAAAACATTCTCATTGGAAAACTTGCGAAATTTATTTGGAAAACTTCCCTAGAACAGGAAATTAAGGGATATGCTTAAATCTAATTCCCCCAACGAAAAAAAGCTTTTATAATTCTTTAGAATTCGTTCGTAAAAATGCATTCTCTGTCTTAAATGACCGCATCGTAGACAATATATGAGCTCGGTAAGCAAAGGCAGTATGTTCGAAAATCCCCCTACTATTCATATGGACTTTCGTTGCAACCCGCTGGGATTCAAAACAGTCAACTTTTATTTTGAATTTTCGCAGGCATCTGATTACACTATTAACGGTTAAACCAAAAGAATAGACGAACAAGTATTGCTCCTTAAGAGGAATGCATGCACTGTGGACGAATCTAATTTTAATCTAGTCGCTGTACCTAAGGGATAATCCACAAATGCTAATTGGAAGCATTATGATAGTATTTATTACGAATTGGCGTCAACTTCAGAGCACACAAAACGAAACCAAATAATGTCAGTTACAGTGGTACTGATATGTTCATATGACTATAATGCCAGAA